GGTTGATTTTAATCCTTCGATTTTGAGGGGAGTAAGATCATCAATGAATGTGTCTTGGATCGCTGTGTTTCAACCACTGTATAGCGTCGTCATGTCAGAAAACCGTCCATGAACTCGATTACTTTCCAATGACACTTAAGTCATATTTCATGGGCAAGTATTTTGCGTTCAGAGTCTCAGCAATCAGATATATGATAATCAGAACTATCACACAATTTCCACAGACAAGTTCTTTACGAATTAAGCCCTGTTTTATTGAAAAAATGTTTTCCGACGACCTCGAATGTTTCGATCTATTCGCAAGCCTTACAATCATGGCCACAGGTTAATTAATATTAGACAAGGTTCCCACGCAGCTATTGGGGGGATCACTTAAAGAACATGTCACAATTCAAGCAATTGTGAAGGCGATGAAAGCGGTATTACCATTGGAGTCTTCAGTGCCTGAAACGGACATTAGATTTTGATTTAAGTCCATAATCCTTTATGGTTTTTTCAGTTCAGCGACTTCTACACGCTGAAAGAAATCAAATTCACGTGTCCATAAATTGATTTCAGAGTCCTTGCAACAGTAACTGCTGGAAATTGGTCAGCAAGCAATCAGAGTAAAATCAAGTTTAAGAAGACTTTCTTTGATTCTGCTCCTATCTACTACAAGATTACGGAGTAGTTGCGTATAAGTGCCGCAAAGCAGACATCTGAGCACAACCCTGATGATACGACTGTTTACGTAGTAATGCGCATTGACAAAAAAAGTTTAAGCATCTGCCCTGAACCATGAATCGTTTAATTTATGTAACTACGGCCTCATAATCAAAAGCCTGAAGTCTTTCTTTTAAATTAGAGTTTATTTTAATTTTTATTACTGAACATGATTTTGCACCTGTTTTAATTTATTCAGTCAAAATTCCTACGCTTCTTGGTAGTCATCTCTTCACTGCTATGCAGTGCCTGAGATTCTTCCTCACCACAGTCTTTGGCGTTTTTTCCTTTCCTCGGGTACGCACTGTTTCCGTAGGCATCTTAAGATCAGTTACAGCACTGTTTCTCAAAGGACGGCAGTTGGACAACGGTGTGAAGTCGTAAAACACTTTTCGAGTACTGAACAAATCACGGCTTTCAAGAGAACGTGACAGATGATGGTCATAAATGTCGTCACGGCTCAAGGACCATGTATTTCGCTACATTGGCAATAATTCAGACATGAAGTGATTTTCTCCCGTTTAACGGCGAATTATCGTCGAACATTAATTACAGTAAGCAGCAGTTTCAGCTGCGACCATGTCAAAAAACCAACCGAGCCCCGTGTAGTCTATGACTACCAGGAAACGACGCTGATTTATCGGCTGTCTTGAATTCGATGCCGTAATTAATGAACAACTCTTATAATTACTACGTGATCTGAAACGTGGCTACTAATTGGAACTGCTTTCACCTTAGTTATTTCCTAAACCGTGTTACTTCGTCGACAACCTTCCAGTGCATAAATTGCTTAGTTTGTTACCTACAGTAACCGTACAGATGACACTTTAAGGCTGAATTTATAGGCATGTATCGTCGAAGCAATTTCATGTTTCTTTCAAATTGATTTATGAAATTTGAAATTCACTATCAGATCGCTTCATGCACGGATCATCGAACTCGTTCAGCAATGAGGCACGTCCCACAAAATTCATTTTCAGGGAGGAAAAGAAGTATCGCTTTCACCTTGAGACGCGATGGCTGTGGTTTAAGGAAGGAATAGAACGAACGGATAGGGAATACTGACGCGATCAGTCATGCATGCACATACGATGCTTCTAGTTTGACAGCTATGGCAGCAGTTGGCTTGCAACGCAATTTCGAAATACTCCCATTACCTTAAAACGAGTTACATTCTATAAATCATTATCAATCAATGATCAGTGCGGCATTCTTTTAAATTGCGCAATCTGAAAAGGGCACTTTTAGCAAGTTCAGTAACGCAGAGTGCGCACTGGATCATAAGCTCATGCCAACGGAAATCGTAGTTTCATTTCATGATCATCAATTAGGCAAAAACTTGCATCAACACAAGTGAGAAATGACGAAGGAGATATATTGTCTGATGATATTGAAATATTATACGTTAGCACACCACGGCAGGACTTATTTGTCCTCAGTTGCAAGCAAACAGAAACGTCTATTTACATGTTTACCTTGGTTTTGCGCAGAAAGTAAAGGGCAAAAGTGAGGAAATATTCATTGATGCCTTGGCTTTCATTGATAAACCAATGTAGTAGTGGTGGCTGTCGTTGGTCCCACATCTGCTGATAGTAAAGCAGGTGCCCAAAAAGCCTGTCTGTGGTAAATCAATCAGCAATGGCGTGGTGACTGTGTGTGTGTGTAATCGCGTGAGTAGTTAAGAAGCGAATCATTCACATTCATAGAATTATTTATTTCCCTTCTTCGCGGCAAACCAGTATGGACGAGTATGAAATTTATTGCATCATTAATGATGACAGTGATACAATTATAGTGTTATAGTGCTTTAGCCTAACTAAGAAGGTCGGGAAAACATGTCGTTCATAGATTAACTGTCATGTTGGTATTGTTGCAACTGT